CTATTTAGTTTGTTTAATAAAAGAACAAGGTATAGACGTGTTCTATAGGAAAGGTAACTTTAAATGACGGGCCGCCCCCCTAATAATGGCAGGGGAAACACTGCAGTTCAAAGTTTTGTACCTTTGCCTTGTTATTCAGATTGCCAAAACGGTTTTTGCTTCAAATCAACGGTTGATGAAGCTGTTTGTTTTGGTTCATGGCTTTAAACTCATTACTGAAGAATTGTTTCAAATCCCCATGGAGAAAACGAATGAGAAAATTACTTCCGGAACCAAGGCTACTGAAGACATGGGTAGTCACTGTTACCGCCTGTTACAAAGACAGTTAAGCAAGAACTGCACTTTGACCATTATGCTTTTGCGTAGAAAGTCATAAATGCAGAGCAAAATCTTAAGATATGAAAGAAGGACTTAAAGTTGTATTTTATGAGGCCTTTCAGCACATTACTGTACATGTGCTCAGAGGAGAACTTCAGAATATCTCAGTATCTAAAAGAACAATCAGCTCAGACTTCCCTGGTGTTCATTACTCTCATTAGTTTGCATTCTTATACTAAGCCAAATAGAACTCGATTCTATTTTGTTATATATTATATTCTTTGAAAGTGTGTAATCACCTACAACAAAAAAAAGTGCTTCAGTATAAATAAACAGCAGTCAGACCACATTTGTACCAGCTTGTACTGTCAAGCTGATTTCTCCTAGGGTCTCCAGTCATCTCATACATGTTTGAGGAGGTGCTGATGATTCGGATCAAAATTGTTGTATTTCATATTTCAGTGTATATTTCAGACAGAAGTGATTTACCTGTAATCTGTGCAATCTCATTTCTGTAACCTAAAGAAAAGGGAAAAAACAGCTACGCCAATAAATAAACCATGGCCTTTGTCGATACCTCAACTGTTGCCTTAATTTCTTCTGTTTTATATTTATCACAGCACCTAAAACAGAGACTTAAAGGGTTAGTTCACCCAAAAATGAAAATTAGGCTGAGTTTTACTCACACCCGAGGCATCCTAGGTGTATATGACTTTCTTCTTGCAGACGAATCCAGTCGGAGTTATATAAAAAATTGTCTTTGATCTTTCAAGCTCTATCATTGCAGTCAGCGGGTGTTGCATTGCTTCAGTCCAAAAGAAGTTAAATAAAAAGCAATGCAAGTCTGTGGGAACTTTAATGTTGTTTTATTATCCACCAAGTGAAAATCATGAAGCTGATTGCTTCAAAAAGTATTAGCAGTCCTCTCCGCAAAATGTCATAATTTGAGGTATCATTCATGTCCATACTGTAGCACAATGTGAAACAACTTGAGCGCCAGACTTTACTACTTGTAGTTGGGTGCTTGTTTAAATCCCGAACCCTTAGTATGAGCAATGCTTGAACAAACACCACTAATAAGTAGATTAACTGGTCGCTGCCATGCTATTGAGTCTGGCAGTCAATTTGGAATGACTTCACAATGAATACAGAAGATATTTTACACTGTTGTTTTTATTTTGATGCAATGTGGGCACATTGAAATCTTATGCCATATCTACTATCAATATCAAAAACAGAGATACAATACAATAATTTTATGTTTTGCTTAGCACAAATATGTCACACACCTTTTATGAACACCCACATAGTTATATGAGCAAAGAAGAGAAGAAGAAAATAATTTGAATTCAAGGCATCACAGTTGTCTCAAAATCATTCCGATTTATTCTGTCAAAGGCTTGATAGTCATATTATCCATCACATGACAATACTTTAATCCCACCATCGTGGCCAGGGTATGTAAGTATGCAAAATATGCTTCTCAGCACAAAATTCACCCTGAAAGGAGTGCTGTAAATTTGTATTTTTATATATCTATAGTTCACCCAAAAACAGAAATTCTGTCATTATTTTCTCAACTTAATGTAATTTTTATCCTGTTTGCAGTTATTTTTTTCCTGCAGAACCCAAAACTAATATCTGTAGAATCTCTTTGATTTCAATTTTGTGGGAAAGACTTGCAATCTGCAAGATTAAAAGAAGTTGAGTAAATGACAACACATACAGTTGTGAAAATGACACAATTTTCATTTATGGATGAACTTTACCTTTAAAATATGACTAGACTGCTCTCAATTGTGAGCTTACTCTAAATGCCATTTCCCAGTGGAATGGCACAAAGAAAATACCCCAAACCTCTGAATTTCCTTAAGAAACTAGCATTGTTCATTTCATCACAAGGATCAGTGGATCTGTGCAGAAGTCTCAGAGGAACGTTTGCTTTAGCTGTAAGCAGCAGGATTATTTTTGCATTCGTCAGGTATGCTGACAGAAATAACAATGCAGATTTCTTTGATAAATTTCAGAGGCTTGTGAAAGCAACTTACAGGATTCTTGAGGGGAGTTTCTATAGTTTGAGATCTCTTTCACCCAGAGAGCTGAAACATTCTTCTATAGCCTGCTCTGAGACCCCAGACAGGGTAGAAGGTTTCCACTTTGGACTCTGGTCTTTATCGATTAGCACTGCAAGTAGAGAGGGGAAAAATCTGTCAGTTATGCACTGACTTTTCTCTGGGGTTGTTCTGGAAAAAAACTGGTTAGGTGAGTGGACCTGGCTAAGAAAACTGCATGAGCAAAGCACATTAATTTGAGGTAAAACTCTATAAATAACCTTTATAATAACAGACTAATTACAGACATTACTAATTACTAATAACAGACATTATATCATTCTTAACATCAACAATGTACAGACATGTAATTTAACCTTTACTCACATATTTTTTTCCCCATATGCATTCATACAGAATTTTAATGATAATGACTAATAATGATAATTTTAAAGATAATGACTAATAATGATAATGAAAATTTCAACTGAGTTCCTGAATTTGAATTTAACTAAGGAAGTAAACAGGATGTGGAGTTGTAATTTGAATTTAAAATGGAATGTAATTCAAATTAACCACTAATCTCCAATGTTGTTTTAACAAAAATATGAAGTAACCATAAACATACTATCATAGACACATCATATGGGATATTTCCAGATATATTAGATCAATGCTCAAATTTTATAGAAATGTGTATGTAACATGTAAATGTTAAATTTAATAAATTACAAACGTAATTTTATGGATTATTACAGCAGAACACTATACTTCCTAAATTGCTTTAAATTACAAAATTTTTAATGTCTTTGAATTTAAATGAGACCAAGAGCAAATGACTCTTCAAGGTTACATATAAGGTTACATATTCACCAACTCTTTAACACCAACATCTAATTTGATACATCTAATATATACAGTTTATCAATAGGAACTAATATGTGAATTTTTCGAAGAAAATGTGCATCTTACCTGCTCTGACTCCCTCATAAAAATCGTGGCCTCTCTGCAAAGCAAGAGTAAAAACTCATGAAACAAATTACACAAATATTTCCCATAAATGAATAACTGGTATGTGAAAAATGTGCCAACACAGCTTTAAGCTGATTTGATTTGGGTAATGAAATGATAAAGCACTGCATTTACAGATAATTGCATTACATACCATACAGGCCTGACTGAGTCTATACTCCATCACCAAAACCTCCTGCAAACTCATTCTCGCTCCTTTCTGAATCTGCCGGAAAGTTAACTTCAGAGAGGTTGGGGACATTTTGGACAGAGTCTGTAAAATCCAATACAAAAACCCAAATTTAATAATGACAATAATAGCAGTAATAATAGCAATTTAAATATCTGACTGTATCAACAAAGTATAATCTTTTTATTTTACAACATGAAAGCCAACAGAGATCATATCAATTTGTGTGGCAGTAATGAAAATGGATTGAAAAATACAATTTAAGTTAAAAAAAAAAAATTTAAGTTAATCTGAAATAGCAGCTAAAGTTATGATTTTAGATTAATTTAAAATTTTTAGTTTTAGTTTTAGATTTGATCAATGACCTTGAAAGACTTATACAACAGTGGATGGATAGATTTTCGCTGAATTTTTCACAAAACTTAACAGAAGCTGTAGAAATGTGTTGTTTTGGGTGAACAAAGTCTTCATTTCAAATTTTTCTGTGAACTGTTGACTATCAACAGTTCAATCAATCAATCAATCAATCAATAAATTAAAAACAAAACAAAAAATAAAATAATGTGAGAAGACATAAAAAACTGTCCACACATGACCAAAATGTACGAACAGGGAGGTTACACAAGGGTAATAGCCAAGTGTACTGTTGATAAAAGAGGCCCCACATAAGCAGAGGACCAGTCCATAAACAGCCTTGTGTTTAGAGACAACCTTACATGACCTGCTTGGTCATAAAACCTCACATTCAATTCAAACGGCATGTTCTGTTTATATCACTGTCACTTTGTATAATACAGTATAATGAGGTATTGTGATTATTTATATTGTAACTTTGTTTAGGTCACGAAAGGACAAAAGCAGGAAACAGAATTTCACTCAAAAAATAATAGTCCACACATACACTGAGCAACAGCAACTGTAAATATTCAACAATAAAACGTCACTATGTCAAACATCAATTTCCTTTCTACAGCTCACTCTAAACAAAGTGATGCATGGCAAAGTAGCGCTATGGGAGGAAAAACAGAATGGCTTTGAAATACTAATGAGGTATAATATGATTCAGGGCCCATTACGCAATAGAAGAGAGGGTTTGCATGCAGCAGAGAGCATGCAGACCTCAAATGAGAAGCCATATGCGCTCATTCTGTTTATCTCGCCAAATATCCCAGAAACCATCACACGCTTTACCCAGCTGCAGGAACAGGACATGGAAACACACTCCTGTATGAAGAACAATAAACCAAACCTTGCTACGACCTTCCCTACTGCCATGTCATTTTATGAGGTTCATAAAAACATCACTTGCACTTGGGAGTTAGAATGAATAAACAGCTCGCCTTAACGCAGGGACAAAGTATAAGATATAATCTTACTTTTTTATATAAACAAAGCAAAATTATATTTAAAATACTAACTTCTTGACATTAATTTGATTTGTGTTTACATTATACCATTCAAAAGTTGGGGATCAAAAAGTTTTTTAATGTTTTTTAAAAGTCTCTTCTACTCATCAAGGCTGCATTTATTTAAACAAAAATACAGTAAAAACAGTAATATTGTGATATAATATTACAATTTAAAATAAGGGTTTTCTATTTGAATATACTTTAAAAAATAATTTATTCTTGTGGTGGCAAAGCTGAAATTTCATCAGCCATTACTAGTCTTCAGTTTCACACGATTCTTCAAAAATCATTCTAATATGCTTATTTATTATCAATGCTGTGTTGCTTAATATTTTTATTGGAACTTGAGATACTTTTTTTGAGGATTCTTTGATGAATAAAAAGTTAAAAAGAAACGTAATTTATTCACAATAGAAATATTTTGTAATCATATAAATCTTTTCTATCACTATTAATTTAACATATCCCTGCTGAATAAAAGTATTCATTTATTTCCTAAATATATAAATAATACTGATCTGTCTGTTCTTCCCTTATTTCGGTTGTGTTTACACTTACCATGTGCTTTTGTGTCATCGTGGTGTCCGTCCCCGTCCTCTTGTTGTTCCATTAATTATCTTATTATTGGCCCACGCCATCACCTGCTCTGCATTATGTTAATCACTCCTTCCCTATTTAGTCTCCTTGTGTGTGCTGTCTTGTGTCAGATCGTTGTTTTGTGCTCCGTGCAATCTTTGCTCCGACCCCGTCTTGTCTTGAGTTTTTGGCTGTGCAGATACCTTGCCAGTTTTGTTTTCATCTTTTAGTTTTTGTTTTTTCCCTCTCCCTCCTGCTTCCAGGCAGCGTTTAACCTCCTCCAGCTCTACCCACGCTCGCGATCTCCGATCGCTGTTTCCGCTGTCTCAGCTCTTCTTCGCCTTGCCACCAGTGCACCACCAGCTCCCCGCCTCAACTGCGCCCCTGCCTCTCTGTCAGTTTGTCCCGGTCTTGCTTTGCTGAATTTTCCCTTTGAAATTCGGTGTCCAGGAGGCACAATTGGATCTGTTCCTGGCTGCTCTGTGCCTGGATTGTTTTTTGTTGTTTATTTTATCTTTTTTGAACTTCAAGACTGTTTAATAAATTGACTTTTGGCACATGCAAACTGAGTCCACATCTCGCAGTGACAGAACGATCTGACCAGTTATGGACTCAGCAGGTGCAGAACCCCTCAGATCAGCAGTTACCCAGCAGGGCATTCTCTTGGGCCAGCATGCCTCCCAGCTAACATCCACGTCCCGGGAGGTCGAGTTCCTAAATGCTCAGTTGTCTGATCTGACTGCCCAGCTCCATGAACTTCGCAGTGAGACTTCAGCTAATAGAGCGGAGGACACCGCTGGCTTTTCCTCTCTCCATCATGACCCTGAGCCTCATGCTAACAACCCACCTCCCTATGACGGGAACCCCAACTCCTGCAGAGCCTTCCTGTCTCAGTGCTCCCTGGTCTTTGCTCTCCAGCCTCGCCGGTACGCCCAGGAGGAGACTAAAGTGGCTTATGTTTTAACCCTCCTAACAGGCAGGGTCCGTGACTGGGGAACGTCAGTGTGGGAGGCCCGGGCTCCCTTTTGTGCTTCTTTTGAGGACTTTCGGCAGGAGATGGTCAAGTTATTTGATCATTCTGCTTGGGGTGATGAGGTGGCAGCCCAGCTGGCACGGCTACGTCATGGAGGCCGTTCAGTAACTGAGTTCGTCATTGAGTTCAAGGACTTAGCAGCGGCCTGTGACTGGAATGAGGGGTCTTGTAGAGCTGTATTCCGTGCTGGACTGGATGAGGAGATCGAAGATGAGATTGCTTCCTATGAGCTTCCACACGGCTTTGATGATCTTGTCGACTTGGCCCTCCATGTGGAGAGTCGCCTTCACCTTCGTCGCCAACGATCGACTGCTCGCACCTCTTGGAGGATGGGAGAAATGACCAGCGACTCCATCTCTGTCTTGCCTCCGCCTTCTCCTGCTGACCCTGAACCTATGCAGGTGGGACGCCTGCATCTCACTCCTCAGCAGAAACAAGAGAGACTCACCCAGGGCTTATGCTTCTACTGTGGGAAGGCCGGACACTTTGTCAGCAAATGCCCGCTAAACGTCAGGGCCCATCAGTAGCCAGGGGGATCCTGGTGGGCGCATCTCCCCTTAATTTACCCCACTCTTCCCGCACCCTTCTTCCTGTGAGTGTTCAGTTTGGAGGTTCTAGTCACTCCTGTTCGGCCCTGGTGGATTCGGGGGCTGGTGGTAATTTCATGGACACCGGCCTGGCTGAGCAGTGGGAATCCCTGCCATCCCCCTCTCTACTTCTACTATCTCTGTTCGGTCTCTTGATGATTCTCCTATCACCACCATCACTCACCTCACCCCCCCGTAAGTCTTATTGTCTCTGGCAATCACCATGAGATAACCGAGCTGTACCTTCTAGATTCCCTGAGTGCCCCAGTGGTTCTAGGGCACCCGTGGTTGGTGCAGCACGGTCCTCACGTGGATTGGGCCAGAAATTCAGTTTTGTCTTGGAAACAGTCTTGTTTGGGCTCTGCCTCTTTTCCTGGCGCTGTGTTTCCTGTTGTGCAGGTGGAGGAGGCTGATCTGTCCGGGGTTCCGGAGGAGTACCGCGATCTTCGGCAGGTTTTCAGCAAGTTCCGGGCCATGTCCCTGCCTCCTCACCGGTCGTATGATTGTGCCATCAACCTCCTCCCAGGCACCTTCTCCGTCCAAGGGTCACTTATATTCCCTGTCTGGTCCAGAAAGAGAGGCTATGGACAAATATATTTGAGAGTCCCTAGATGCTGGTCTCGTCCATCCCTCCTCATCTCCAGCTGGTGCAGGATTCTTCTTCGTTAAGAAGAAGGATGGCTCCTTGCGCCCTTATATTGATTACAGAGGTTTGAATGACATTACCATTAAGAATAGGTACCCCTTGCCCTTAATGTCATCTGCCTTTGAACTTCTGCAGGAAGCCAAGGTCTTCAGTAAGTTGGACCTCCGCAATGCTTATCATTTGGTTCGGATTCGAGATGGGGATGAGTGGAAGACAGCATTCATCACTCCTTCGGGACACTATGAGTACCGGGTGCTACCTTTTGGCCTGACAAATGCCCCAGCTGTCTTCCAGGCCCTGGTCAACGACGTGTTGAGAGACATGGATAACAAGTTTGTCTTTGTGTACCTTGATGACACTCTAATCTTTTCTCCCTCGCCTCAGTTACACACTCAACACGTACGTCAGGTGCTACAATGGCTACTGGAGAACCAGCTGTATGTTAAAGCGGAGAAGTGCGTTTTCCACTCCAAGTCAGTTCCATTCCTGGGCTATATCATTTCGGCGGAGGGAATCAAAGCAGATCCCACTAAGGTAAGGGCCGTAGCCGAGAGACCACCTCCAGACTCACGCAAGGCTCTGCAGCGGTTTCTGGGATTCGCCAACTTCTACCGGCGCTTCATCCGAAACTTTAGTCAGGTTGCTGCACCCTTGACAGCTCTTACCTCTACTAAGGTACTGTTTAGGTGGAATTCGAAAGCTCAGGGGGCCTTTGATGACCTGAAGTCTCGATTCATTTCTGCTCCTATTCTTTCGTTTCCAGACCCTGAACGTCAGTTTATTGTGAAGGTGGATGCTTCCGAGATTGGAGTAGGTGCGGTCCTTTCTCAGCAGTCCCC